CATTGTATGTCTATCTACCACAATTTGTTTACCTAACTGTTGATAGACAAACAGGGTGGTTCCACCTATGAATATATATGTACATGTACTTGAGTACCTGTTTTCAATTCTTTTGGGTATATACCCAGCAATGGAATTTCTAGGCCATGTGGTAATTCTATGTTTAAGTTTTTAAGGAATCTTCAAGCTGTTTTCCATAGTGACTTCACCATTTGTATTCCTCCCCACAATGTACAAGGGTCAAATTTCTCTACATTCTCATCAACACTTGTTATTTTCCTTTTTTTTTTTTATTACAGCCATCTTGGTGTGTGTGAAGTGGTACATTAATAGACTTTTAAAAAATAAATGTTATTAGTTTTTGAGAAGGTAATATATGCACATGGTTCAAAATTTAAAATTTTGAATTTTATGACTCTTTCCAGAGAAATAGTACATATACATGTATTTAATACTTTTTGGTTAAAAAAACTAAACATCCATCTTTGATTATATGCCCAAATCTGATGCCTTATAAAATTAATGTTAACTGGAAAAAACTTAGTTAAAGCTATATGGCCTTGATTTTTTTTAAAAGTTTCGTTAAATGAGAGGTAAGAGAATATTTCATGATTTTAATTAAAACACAACTGTAGCAATGGAAAGCTTCTGAATTCAATGTTATTACACCTATCTTTAGTGACCCAGACTGGCTAAGAGAGTCATTCAAAAGAAATACAAATTTCTATGGCCAAGAACTGTACCTTTAACTTTTGGCTAGAATAGAAGCAACTGGATTATATGGCTTAAATATCCATGTAAAGATATTAACATTGATGAAAAATTCAGGGCATGTTCACAGTTTAACACATGAATGTTACCTTCTACTGTATGTTGACCATACTTTACCACTAGATGGCCAATTTAAAAAAAATTCAGCTTACTGGGTATAATTGACATATAAAATTGTAAAGTATTTAAAGTGCACACTGTAGTGATTGGATATAAGTACACATCATGAAAGGCTTCCGCTCTTTTAGTTAATTAACATCTATCTTGCTTTTTTGGGGGGGGTGAAGGCAGAGTTGTATCACACATGACTTCAATATTGCCCACTAAATTTATGATTTGTAACTAGAAAATTCTCACTTAATTTTGAATTTATATATATGGAGAGATGCAAAAGGCAGGGAAATTTTATTTTAAAAGCTAGTAGAGCTCCCTGTGTATGTTATAGAAACTGCTCTTGCAGAAAGTTGAGTCACTGTCACAAAGAGCTCTTCTTTCCATAATCTGTTTTGCTTACTGTGGAATAGTTCTGTTTTAGCTTTAGTGCTCCCCTATAACAGTGGCATATCAAAGTGAGGTGATGGGTGCTTGCTGTTTTCCTCTAATGCTCTTGATAGTTGTGATATTTTGGAATATTCATCTAATAAATGCCTTATTCCTCAAAGCTGCTTAAAACAAAGGGAAAAAATTTAAAGTTTAAAAATAGCTTTATTCCATGACTCATGAGAGAAAATGCTGAGAAGCTGAATTTCATTGAAATTACAAACATGTGCTCTGCGAAAGACACTATCAAGAGGATAAAGAGAGAGCCACACACTTGGAGAAAATATTTGCAAAAGACACATACCATAAAGCATTGTTTTCCAAAATATACAAAGAACACTTAAAATTCAAAAATAAGAAAGCAACTCACTTAAAAAATGGTTCCAGAACATTAAGAGGAACCTCGCCAAAAAAAGATATAAAGATAGCAAATAAGCATGTGAAAAGATGCTCCACATCATATATCATAGAAACACAAATTAAAACAAAAAATGAGATACTACCACTACACATAAAATCAAAGCACCAAAATCTGGAACGCCGACAACACCAAATGCTGATGAGGACGTAGGGCAACAGGAATCCCTCAGTCATTGCTTGTGTGAATGCAAAATGGTACAGCTGCTTTGGAAGACAGTTTGGTAGTTTCTTACACAACACTTCTTACCATACAGCCCAGCAATCACACTCCTTGGTATTTGCCCAAAGGAGGTAAAAACTTATGTCTACACAAAAACCTGCATGTGGATGTTTATAGCAGCTTTATTCGTAATTACCAAAACCTGATAGCAACCAAGATGTCCTGTAGTAGGTGAATGGATAGACAAACTGTGGTACATCCAGGCAATGAACTATTATTCAGTGCTAGAAAGAAATGAGTTATCAAGCCATGAAAAGGGGAAGCTTAAACACATATTATTAAGTGAAATAAGCCAATATGAAAAGGCTATATACTGTATGACTCCAATTATATGATATTCTGGAAAAGGCAAAACTATGGAGACACTAAAAAATATCAGTGGTTCCCAGAGATTCGAGGGAGGGAAGGATGAATAGAACCCAAGGGATTTTGAGGACAGTGAAAATACTCTGATATTATAATGGTGGATTCATGTCCTCATTCATTTAGTCAAAACCCACAGAATGTACACTAATGTAAATTATGGACTTCGGATGATTATGATATGTCAATGTAGTTTCATGGATGTTAACAAATGTACCATTTTGGTGGTTGACAGTGTGGGAGGCTGTGCCTGTTGGGAGAGCCAGGAATACGTGGGAAATCCCTGTGCTTTCTGCTCAGTGTTGAGAACCCAAAACTGCTCTAAAATATAGTCTATTTAACAAAATAAAAAAGATGACAGACCTAAATATGAAACCTAAAACTATAAAACTTAGGAAGAATACATAGGAGAAAATCTTTATGACCTTGAGTTAGGTAAAGAGTTATTAATTACAGCACAAAGTGCCTCAATTATGAAAGAAAAAACTGTCCAAGTAGACTTCAAAACCAGAAACTGCTCTTTGAAAGACACTGTTAAGAAGGCAGAGATTGGAAAAAAAATATTTGCAATATTTGCAAAGCACATTATCTGATGAAGAACTTGTAGCTGGAATATATTCAAGAACTTTCACATTTCAAGAACAATAAGCAACACAATTTTACAGAAGATTTTACATTTGAAAAGAAACTTCACCGAAGAATAGACACAGATGGCAAATAAGCATATGAAAAGATCTTTAATGTCATTAAATTAAAATTAAAACTACTACGAGAAAACACTGTATTTCTATTAGAAGGGCTGATGTAAACACAAAATGATAGAATCAAGTGCTGGCAAAGATATAGAACAATACAACTCTCACAAATTGCTGGTGGAAATGCAGGATGGTAGAGCCAATTTAGAAAATGTGTGGCAGTTTCTTATAAAGTTAAAAAAACACACCTTTTTTTTTTAAAAAAACCTTTTTCTTTTAGATCTACATACCAAAATATTAAATGGATGAAGTTATATGGTGTCTGAGATTTACACCAAAATTATCAAGGCAATAATGTGGGTGGGGCATTAGATTAAATAAAGAAAAAAACCCACTTACCTTATAAGCAGCAATCTTACTCCTAGGTATTTACTCAAGAGAAAATACATACATATGTCTACATACAAAGACCTGTATGCAAATGTTTACAACACCTTTATTCATAAAATCTCTCAAACTGGAAATAGCTCAAATGTTCATCAATTAGGGAATGGTATATCCAGACGACAGGAGAGTAAAGACTACTGATACATGTAACTACATTCATGAATCTCAAAAGCATGAAGCTAAATGAAAGATGCCAGACACAAAAGGCAAAATACACTATGACTCCACTTATAAGAAGTTGTGGAAAAGTATAGAAACAGAAATTAGATCAGTAATTGTCAAGTTTTGGGTGTGGAGGACGAGAAAGAACTACAGAGGTGCACAAGGAACTTTTTGTGGTGATAGAAATACTCTGTATTTTGACTGTGATAATGGTTATATATGACTGTATACGTAAAAGGATGAAATTTTATTGTGTGTTTTACCTCAATAACCCTGACTTTTAAAAAAAGAGAAATTATATATATATGTATATATATATCTGTATATCTGCATATATATATATATTTTTTTTTTTTTTTTTTGAGAGGGAGAGAGAAAGGGCAGGGTGGGGCAGAGGGAGAGAGAGAATCTTAAGCAGGCTGCATGCCCAGCACAGAGCCCAAGTGGGGCTCCATCTCACAACCCTGAGATCATGACCTGAGCTGAAATCAAGTCCGACACTTAACCAACTGAGCCACCCAGGTGCCCCTCAGTCCAATATATTTACATGTTTCCTCTCATCTCTTTCTCTTCCCTTACTTAGGGCTTACAGTGGAAAAAGGACAGGCCCTCTCTAGCTTCCAAGTCCTCCAGTGTTAGGGCAGGGAGGGGAGGCAAGACTATATGCTAAGCACATGACTACAGATTTCTGCTTCTCTGGCTTACTCTGACAGACATTGTGTGTGGGTGTTATCAAATATTTGCTTTCTTGAGAACGGTATGTGGGAATTCTTCAGAAGACCCTTCAGGGCCACCCTACTGCCTAAGTCTGTATTGTGAAAGAATTGTTTTGTCTTGACTCCCAACCCTCTCACCCCTCCTCACCACCCCCTGCTCTTTTGCTTCAGGGTTGCTCAACCACTGGTCTGTCTTGGGTGCTAGGCACAATGGCTCAAATCTGGTTCTTGTTCAAAGTAACCACTTGAACCCAGAAAGAATTCACATTTCTCCAAATGGGAAATTTGGGCTAACTCTACCACTAAATACCCTATCCTGCCACTTCTCTTCCTAATTTTCTTCTCAAATAGGCAGAGAGGGCTGCCAAAGCAGATATTCCACCTAGAAATAAGATGCCATTCTCTTTTTCTTAGAAGTACCTTCAATCCCTAGAAGCCATTCTCTTGGTTTCAGGGTCCCTTAGGGATGGAGGGAAAAGCCACTCTACTCCCCATTAGACTAATGACTCCAGTTATTTTTCCGCCTATTTTTCTTGACCCAAAACAGGGTGAAAACTCCCAAAGCTATGGCCTAAGCACATATCCTAAAGGGAATGATATGCTAGTTATCCTTCTTGTGAATAAAGTGTTATGTACAAACTAACAAACATTTATAGGTCTACTTACCCTACTTCATAAGATGCTAGGCCCTCTTTGACTAGCTGGTCATTTATACTAGGAGTCATTCCAGGAGCACCAAGAGAATCGAAAAGCTCAACTAAGAGCACATTATCTTCCAGAATTTCTGTAAAACATTAAGATGAGTTTGGGGAAAGAAATATGTTGCAAAACACACTAAATGAAGTAATTAAAAAAAAAAGCTGTAAACAATTTCATTTTGCACGTGTGGTTTTTTGCTGAATAATATCAAAGTCTCTCTGTAGGGGTAAAAGTAGTATTTTGCAAAGATAAAACAACTGTCTATGTTATCTGTAGCATATGCAAATTAATAACATTTTCATTTTAGATTATTGTGTACTGTTCTATGACAAATCAAAAGTAGTTTAAAGCTTTTAAATTCAGAAAAATATAATTGACATATTCATTGAAGAAGTGTTCTGATGTGTTTGTTTTTTTTTTTTAAAGATTTTATTTATTTATTTGACAGAGATAGCGAGAGAGGGAACACAAGCAGGCAGAGTGGGAGAGGGAGAAGCAGGCTCCCTGCTGAACAGAGAGCCCGATGCGGGGCCTGATCCCAGGACCCTGGGATCATGACCTGAGCTGAAGGCAGACGCCCAACGACTGAGCCACCCAGGGGCCCCTGTTCTGATGTGTTTTTAAACGATTTTACTGAATTCATCCAAGTTCCAGAGGACAAAAGAATGAAATTTAGGCCAGTGGTTATCTGCAAAGGTTTACAGCTTTTATAAGAATGGCACAAAGTTTAACACGACAAAAACTTAATCTAGAATCCTCAACTAGAGATTGGAATCTGGATTTTTTTCCCCCATCCCTATGTTTTTAGGACAAACCATCTAACTTTTAACTTCTTTTAGAATACATACATATTGGTTACTTAAACAAGTAGATCTATTTAGATCTATTTCTTAAACTAAACTGGGTAAAGTTTACATCTCATATGCCTGTTTACTTACTTATGGTACATAGCACAGAGAACCTGCCTAATATGTATCTGAATAAACAACAGAGTAATTTCTTTAGGAAACACATACTTCAGTGCACTAAACTATGCACTGAATGCACACTTCAATGCAGTTTATACCTACACCTTCTACACAATAGCAGCTGGTAGCTGCAGGTCAGAATGATGATTCCAAATAAAAAGATAAAAGTGTTACCAGCATCTTATATTATCTAGTCATAAAAATATTAGAAAACTTTTTTCAAGAGCCTAAAAATGATTCCTGACTACTTTTCAATGGACCAGATATATATCATCTAAAAATAAAAGACTAAGCAATGCTGAGACTCAGTTTTCATCTCCTTACTTTCCATGTCTTGTGTTCCCTTTAATTCTTTGACTTCGTATTTCCCATATATAGTTCTTTATTCCAACAGGCCCAACTTTCCATATGTTCTGTACCTTTACCAACTTCCCTACTCTGCTAATTAAAATTTAAATAACGCTTGCTTTATAAGGTAACAATGCATATTAATGGAAGGCTCCCCTTCTCATCTTTAATGTCTTACACTCTCAATCTCACCATTGTGCAGGTTAATGGGGTAAGATCTTTTAGATTTAAGGAGTGCCAGAAGGCCCTGCTCAAACAAATTATCCAGCATAATAACTATGTTATGGCTAGTGTTTGGATGATATTGGTATAACAAGTAATTAAGTACGAAAAAGAAGGAGTCAAGAAAGAAACCAAGTCAGGTCTTGATGCTGTCCACGGGAGCTAAAACCAATAGAGGGCGGGGAGCTAAAACCAATAGAATAAAATACCAAAAGCAAAGTTGGTAAGCAGAATTATCTAGGTTAAAGTCAGCTCAAAATCAGCGGAGATTACTCAAGGACTAAGAAGCCCTTAATTTACTGCTCACATCAGAGAAGCCTGATATAAAAATGTTATTGACTGAGGATGCAGTATCTATAACCACATTCCTCTTTAAAGAAATTATTTCTTCAGAACAATTTCTCATATCAACAACATGGATAAATTATCACTGATACGCCATCAGTTCCCGGTTATATAACCTTGAGCAGCTGATCACTGAAGCTGCTCATTCAGTCTTCTCACTGTAACATAAGCTAACACTCTTCTGGTGGTTGGGTTCATTTACTGGTAGTATGATAAATGTGAACAAACAGATATAGTAAAAATTACCCTGGAAATTCCCATAAATCAACCCTAAGTAAACATAATCTTGTGTGTCTTGCACTAATACTTACTAAGACCAACACAGCCAGATAAATAACAGACTCCCACCACTCCCCAACCCCTGCATCTAAACCCCTTGGGGCCAGACAGGTTTTAGAACTTCAAATTGAGAAAAGCTACATAAAACATATATTGCATATTTTATAATACCCCCAGCAGATTCTGAGGCAGCAGCCTACAAACATACATTACTATCCTGAAATGGAATATATGAATATTCACTATAAAGGAGATAAAGATTATATATATCTTCATGTCAATTCAGATCAGGTTTTGCCTCTCAACTTTTCATTTCCAGAACACGGTGGGTTACTAAATTGTGAGCTAGTGGTCAGCCTGTATCTTGGACCCAAACTACTACCAAAAAAGAAATCTTTTTTTTTCAAAATATGGGAAGAGCCTACAGTTGAATGCACTTAAGTCAAATGAAATGAAAAAACATATGAAAACTATTTAACAGTTATGTCCCACCTCCCCTCACTTTCCTGCACATTAAACTTTAGCATTCATCATGCCAAAATCAGGATAGAGCCCTTGCAGAAATGTAACAGAAATAAGAGAAGCTAATTTCTGGCTTTAAGGCTTTCCAGAGGCCATGTCCAGGATGACTTGATTTTTTTTTTTTTTTTAAAGATTTTATTTTTAAGTAATCTCTACACCGAATGTAGGGCTTGAACCTACAACCCCAAGATCAAGAGTCACACACTCCACCAACTGAGCCAGCCAGGCACCCCTGGGATAACTTGATTTTTTAATGGCAATTTTTGCCTTGTACTGATTTTATACTCTAGAGCCTGCAACTACATCCACTATACCTAATTCTCAATAAATGTGCTCTCACTACTCTTACTGATGACACATTGAATTTATTCTAAGATCTGGCAAATGTTGTATTATAATGTTATTCTTATTATATATAATCACATAGCAAGAAATAAAAACGGAAATAGCTTACTAACGACTGAACATGTCATAAATTTATCTTGAGTCTTTTCTTCAAATTTTTCCTTAGCTTTTTTGGACCACTGCATTGTCCTTATACATGGTTCAATATAGGCCAGCTTACATTTAATTGCCTGTGTCAAACAAAATTGCACCATTAAGAAAAAGTAAAATTTCTAGTTATTTTAGAATTAAAATAAAATTTTGTATGTGTCAAAAAACTCTGAATATATATTTGGAAAATAAATGTGCAAAAGGTATTTATAAAATATTTTATAAATACCAATAACTGGAATCAATAGAGCATTTGGTTGAATTATTGCACATTCAGACACTGTTATAACAAGCATCTACTGAAAGAATTACAGATACTTATGATATACTGTTAAATGAGAAAAGCAGGTTATAGGACTATTTGTCTAATCCTGTAATTGTTAAAAACAGAAGATGCATCTTAGAATTATATTTATAAAAAATATTCAATAGTTCTAAATGATTCCTCTTTTTGTTTATCTATATTTTCAAGTTTTTCCTACAATATTTTACCCATTTTTAAAATGAAAAATATTGTTTAACAAATGTCTAGGTGTAATGTGAGTTAGAAAATAAGCCCCATTAACCTTCCTTGTCTTCTGGGGAATAGGATTCTAAGAGAAGGATAATTTTTTACTTATTCTTCCAGACTTCTCTCTTTCTCTTGGACATGTTATATATACTTAAACATAAATGGAATTGCAATAAAAATACTTCTATGATGAGATTTTTTTTTACACAAGATAACATCATCTTCCTACCACATTATACAGGTATTTCAAAATAACATTAAGAGCTGCAGACCAGCAAATACTTAAAAAGACACAAACATACATACACATATATATTTACAATTAATGCTTATTTCCTAAGATATACATATATCTTAACAATTTATGGTTGCTATATAGGAAATTACAATGACAGCAACTCTTTTTTAGATTCCACATTATCAAATTATTTACAGACAAAAATGTTTTTTAACAGGGCAATTCTATGATAAAAATGATTTCTAAAAATACTGTCATATTTGTGTAAGATTCTAACCCTATGACTCACAATAAGTAGATTACCTTCTCTGGGGGATTTAGAAACTCATCTTTTATTTTACGCATTTCTTTAAGTGTTATTTTTGCAGTATTGCCAAAGTCCACATATTTAACTTCAACTTCACGATGTCCAGGCAATCCTTCAAAAATTATGAAATTAGAAATCACAAACTTGGAAAGAAAACAGAGAATTATCTAGCAAAATTTAGATTGACAGTCAACTATGTTAGAATACGTTTATGATCAACATACAAGCTTAATACTTTTTTAATATAAAAAATATTTCTAATACGTGGGCTTACAAAAATCAACATAATGCATAGTTGTTCAGATTTGGTGAATGAGAAATTAACAATTTTAAGATATCCAAAGGACAATCAAAATCAGGATAACAACACAGCTATCAAATGTTAGCTGTTGTGGCCTAAAAGTTAGGCGTTAAGACTGACTGGGTCAGAATCCAGTCAAATTCCATGTGACTCTAAGCAAGCTAATCACTCTTTCTAAAATATTACTCTGAGCAAGTTTCTTTTTCTCTCTAAGCCTCATTATTTCATTTGTAAAATTGGCATACCTATAGAATCCAATCTCACAAGACTTTTTTTTTGAGGATTCACCTATTTAAAATAATTTGCAAAACACCAAAGTAAGCATGCATTTAATAAATGTTTACTGTTAGTCAAGACAGGTGATTAAGGCAAAAGATTTAATAATCAAACTAAAGATTCATTCATATGATGATACTTAACTGAAATTTAAAAAAATTATTTGGGGGAATATTGTGAAAAATAAGCAGAGACAGACCTCTATGTCAATCTAGTCCCTATATTTTACAGGATACCAATGAATCCCTTAAGAAGTTCAAACACATGGAAGTTTGAATAAAAACCTATCACACTGACCTTTTTGAAAATACTCAAAATATATGGTTGACTTTAGCCTCTCTTAGCACACCTATGTATAATTCTACTAAAATGGTTGCTATCATTTTCAAATTTAAAGAGTAGTACAGTATATATATTTCAAAAATGGAAGAAGTACAGGCATTCTCTGCTCCTTAGCAGAAGTGGAAGCAGATGGAACACACTGGTACTCAAGAGGACACTTCAAGCAACTTAGGCCATGTGATAACTGGTATCTGAAGTAATTGAGAAGACACATGTTACCATAAGTCTAAGAAGGTGAGGGAATCCCTCCACACTTCCACTGGAATTCTCATGCTAGAAGAATATTCTTAACTGTACTAATGCCATTACATTCTTATCATTCTTCGAGTCTCTGAATGGAGATATAGTTTTAGACAAAACAAACAAATGGACAGGAGATAAAATTTAAAGAACATTTTTTACCCAAATTATCAATCATGTATGAGAGTAGAGTCAGAAGACATGAAAGGTCTCAAAATTTACCTCCATTTATTCTGAGTAAACAATTAGAAGATGCTCCCCCAAAATAGGGGAGTAAACTGAAGAGGTAAACATGGGATCCATAAAACAAGGGATCCAATACAGGAAAACAAAGTATATTGCCAAGTGAAATAAATTCCCTGCATAACAAAAGTCTAATAAGCTTAGAGGACTAGCAGTCTAATTGGAAAAGATAGAAGGATGTTTTCACTGCTAGGAAAAAAAAAAAAAACTAACATTACCTGAAAAGTCAATCGTGTGGAAAATTGTTTTGAACAATCAGGAAAATGTAGCCATAAATTAAAGAAAAGAAAGTGAAAATCTGATGCATTAACTTGAAACAGGAAAGTATTCTTTATGACTTGGTGAAAATATTTATATTCAATATGGATTAACTAAAATTGTGATACAGCTATGGGGATGGGGTGGGGAGGGCATAAAAGAGCTAGAAGAAATCTAAAACTGCTATCTACCATAATAAGAATAGATGACACAACACAAATTAAAAAAATAAGAATAGATAATATCTAAGAGTAAAATATCAACAAAGTATTACATATTTAGAAGAAATAACACAAATAAATACCAAAAGCAACAGCTGAAAGAATTTAAAGTATTTTTTAAGTAATGTCTACACCCCACATTAAGCTCAAACTCACAACCCTGAGATCAAGAGTTGCATACTCTTACAACTGAGCCAGCCAGACAACCCTAAAATATTTGCCTTTCAGGAGTGCAGTATAAGTTGTTTAGCACCATTTAACTTTTTAAATAAGGCAGACATTAGAAAACAACAACAAAAAAATAGTTAAGTCCTAGTCAAATCAAAATCTAAGGACTCAGAGATTCACCTCCCAACATTACCACTAGCTTTTTAAATTTTTTTTTTTAAAGATTTTATTTATTTATTTGATAGAGAGAGTGAGAGAGCACAAGCAGGGGGAACAGTAGAGGGAGAGGGAGAAGCAGGCTCCCCGCCAAGCAGGGAGCTCGATGCGGGGCTCGATCACAGGACCCTGGGATCATGACCTGAGCCGAAGGCAGATGCTTAACCATCTAAGCCACCCAGGCGCCCCCCAACTAGCTTTTTAAAGATAACTGAGCAAAGATCAAATAATATCACTTCCATGATTTAATTTGTACCAACTCAAATGGTTTCAGTTTTTAAGCATAACATTTCCCTGTAGAAATAGTATGCAATTTCCTACCAATAACTTTTGCTCGGTACCAAACTCCATCTTCAAATTTAGCTACACAGGCTTGACCTTGAACTGGACAGAGGATTTCCAGATTTTCTCCATCTTCACTTTTATAGAATTCCTCAATTGTCTTTAGCAAAAATAAAAAATCCAGGCTCTCTATCTAAGAAATAAAGGGATTAAAACACTATAGTTTCAAAGAAACAAAATTTAAATGTGGCATGTATTATAAGCACTGCTTATAAAATTACTGGAATCAGACAAATCAATTGTTATGTAATTTATATTTGAAATATTTTATTACAGAAGCAGTATATAAAATTAGCAAATATGGACACAACAAATTTTTTTAAAAATCACATTTCTCCAGATATCTTAAGTGTATATCCTTCCAGATCCCTTTCTTTTAAATTTAAATTCTATAGCCAACATATAGTACATCATTAGTATTTGATGTAGTGTTCAATGATTCATTAGTTGCATATAACACCCAGTGCTCATTCCATCACGTGCCCTCCTTAATGCCCGTCACCCAGTTACCCCATCTCCCCACCCACCTACCTTTTTACAACCCTTAGTTTGTATCCTATAGTTAAGAGTCTCTCATGGTTTGTCTCCCTCTTTGATTTCTTGCCATTCATTTTTCCCTCCCCTCCCCTATGATCCTCTGTGCTATTTCTTATATTCCACATATGAGTGAAACCATATGAGCACGGTCTTTCTCTGCTTGGCTTATTTCACTTAGCATAATACCCCCCAGTTCCATCCATGTTGATGCAAATGGTAGGTATTCATCCTTTCTGATGGCTGAGTAATATTCCATTATATATATGAATCACATCTTCGTTATCCATTCATCTGCTGAAGGATACCTCAGCTCCTTTCACAGTTTGGCTATTGTGGACATTGCTTCTATGAACATTGGGGTGCATGTGCCCCTTCTTTTCACTACATCTGTGTCTTTGGGGTAAATACCCAGTAGTGCAATTGCTGGGTCATAGTGTAGCTCTATTTTTAACTTCTTGAGGAACCTCCATACTGTTTTCCAGAGTGGCTGTACCAGCTTGCATTCCCACCAACAGTGTAAGAGGGTTCCCCTTTCTCCACATCCTTTCCAACATTTGTTGTTCCAGATCCCTTTCTTATATACACACAAACTTTCCATATTTTTTAAAACAAAAATGAGATGATCTTTTACTTGCAATTTGATTACAGTGTGATAATTTGCATTTTCCATCAATTCTCACTTTTGTTTCATTAAGTATTCCTATTAGTACTTTTAGACCACATTTAGATATCCCTAACTGGCCCAAACTGGTATCAAATTCAAGACTACACATTATATCTAGTTATCTCAATAAATCTTTTAGGATCTAGTGTAGTCTTTTTTTTTTTTTTTTTTTTTAATGACTAGGTCTTGCTGAAGAGAGACTGCTATTTTTCTGCAGAATGCCCCATCTTCTGGATTTATATGGTTACATCCTCATGCTATTATATAGCTTGTTCCTCCATTAAATGGGGTCTGTCTCCTGAAATTTCCCCAAAGCCAGAAGTTATATCTATAGGTTTGGTGGATTCAAACCTTTTTTGGCCAGAATACATTTTAAGTGTACTTAGGTTACAATACATCAAAAGACATGATATTACTGACTCAATATTAACATGCTAAGATTCACCTACAGATTGGGGTGATGATTCTGATCCCTCTATTGTACAGTTGTGTTTTTACCCTTGTATCCACCAAGTAATTCATTTAATAATACTTTGGCATTATATGAATGTCCAGTTTCCCATCAACCTTCCATGAGATGGTTTTAAAGTGAATTGATCATTCTTTAAATCAGTAATTTCAGTAGGGTTTGTGAAATGACTACACTGAATAAACTAAAGATTTCTCTTATTAATAAATAAGACTATTTGGTTACTTAAGTTCTTAAAGTTCCTATAGTATCTAAAACATTGTTCCTCCACCAAAAAAAAAAAAAAAGACAGAAAAAAATCCCAAAACACCAAGAATGTCTGATTATCTCTCTAAATGCCAATTCTTAAGGTTAAAAAATATTTTAAAATCTATTTCAAATGGCAAAAAATGAAGTTTTTCTTTTTTAAGTATTATAATGCAAGCGGAAATTTTGTGAATCTGTCTTTTCTTGTTATTTCATTTAAATTACTTTAAAAACTTTAAATTTTTAAAATTTTTATTTCTAAGTAGGTTTTATTCATATTCTTCCAACCAAAGTGAAGTGAAAAATTCAACAGAGGAATGACATCAGCAAAATAGCATACTAGGAAGCTCCAAGCTCTTGTTCCCCTACAGAAACACTGGGGAAAAAAAAAGAGAGAGAGAAGCCATATGAACTTTGTCAGAACTATGGAAAAGTCAAAGGTTTATAGCAACCAAGCAAACACCCAATCAAGCTCCTGGCATTCAGATAAATCTCTGTCAAAACATTTGCTGAACACAAGCTAAAGGAACAGAGACTTAAGTGATCACATGCAAGGAATAGTGTTTGCAAAAATAGTTTGAAAAAGTCTCAAAACTAACCAACCACTGCAGTCTTCAACTATAAGAAAATCCAGCAAATCCCAGGGAGGTGGGGACCTTATTTTCAGAGTTACCACATTATAATAGTCAAATGACCAGTTTTCAACAAAAAATCAGAAGAAATACAAAGAAAAAGGAAAACATGGCTCATCCATAGGAACAAAACAGAAACCACCCTTGAGGAAGCCCAGATAAAGGACATACTAGACAAAGACTTCAGAGCAACTGCCTTAAATATGTTCAAAGAATAAAGGAACATATGGATAAAGAACTAGAGGAAACCAGGAAAACAATAAAGGACCAAAATGAAAATACCATCAAAGAGACAGAAATTATAAAAAGGAATCAAACAAATTCTGGAGCTGAAAAGTAAAATAACTGAAGTGAAAAATACACCAGAGGGATTCAACAACATATCTGAAACAAGCATAAGAAAGGATCAGTGAACCTGAAGATAGGACAACTGAAATCATTAAGTGGGGAAAAGAAAGAGTGAAGGGAAGAGAGGCTAAGGGACTTGAACAGAGACCAAGGGCACCATTAGACATACTAATATACACATTATGGGAGTTCCAGAAGGAGAGAGAAAGGAGCTGAAAGATTATTTGAAGACATAATGGCTGAAAACGGCCCAAATTTGATGACAGACATGAATCTACAAATCCAAGAAGGTCAATGTTATGAGTTGACTTGTACCTCCAGGATATGTTGGAGTCATAACCTGAGAATGTGACCTTATTTGGAGAGTCTTTTTTTTTTTTTTTAAAGACTATTTATTTGACAGAGAGAGACAGCGAGAGCAGGAACACAAGCAGGGGAGTGGGAGAGGGAGAAGCAGGCTTCCCGCTGAGCAGGGAGCCCAATGAGGACCCTGGGATCATGACCTGAGCCGAAGGCAGATGCTTAATGACTGAGCCACCCAGGCGCTCCCTGGAGACAGAGTCTTAACAGATAATCAAGTTAAAATGAGGTCATTAGGGTAGGCCTTAATCAAATATGATTGGTGTTATTAAAAGAGGAAGATTTAGTACAGAGACAAACACAGGAGAATGCATGTGAAGATGAAGGCAAAGATGAGGGTGATGCAGCAGAAGTCAAAGAACACCAAAAATTTCCAGCTAACCACCAGAAAGTAGGAGAAAGTAATGGAAGAGATTATTACTCACAGTCCTAAGAAGGAAAATACCCTACTGATACCTTGATTTCACACTTCTAAATTCCAGAACTATGGGACAATAAATTTATGTTCTTTAAGCCACTTAATTTGTGTAATTTTGTTATTGCAGTCCTAGGAAATGAATACACATTTTGGTTTTGAGAAGTAGGGTGTTGCTGTAACAAATACCTAAAATGTGTGTGTGACTTCAGAATTAGGTAATGGGCAGAGGAGAAGTTTTGAGGTGCTTGAATGGAAAAAGTCCAGACTGCCTGGAAAAAATTTCTGGTAGAAATATGAATGTTAAAGGTGTTTCTGGTGACATCTCAGACAGAAATGAGGAACATGTTATTGGAAACTGGAAGAAAGGAGATCCTTGATATAAAGTGGTAGAGAACTTGGCTGAATTTTGTTCTGTTGGACAGAAAGTAGAACGTTAATCTTTAGCTGAGGAGATCTCTAAGTAAAATGTTGAATGTGCAGCTTGGTTTCTCCTTGTTGTTTATGATAAAACATGAGAAGACAGAGATAAAGAAAGAACTGCCAAACATAAAGGAACCAGAACTTGAAGGATTTATGAAATTCTCAGTTTATCCATATTGTAAACAATGAGAATGTATACTTAGGACACCAAGGGTGTGGCTGGACACTGCTGAAGAGATTATGGGCAAGTGACTTGTGGATCCAATCTATCATCTCAGTAGAAACACTACCAGCTTGAACTTAAGGGGACAGAGATGGGAAGAAGGAAGGCTGTTGGACTTGTGGGATTTTATATGGAGGAAGTGAGCTGACAGGGCTATCAGCCCTGAACATGTGTTATCTTTCAAGAAAAAGGAATAATGATCCTGGAGGTGGTTCAGAGGCTGGTGTGTCTGCCACTGCCACCAGGAGCCCAGAGAGCACAGGCCTGAGAGGCAGGACTGTCTTATCCTCTGTTCCAGGAGGTGCAGCCTCCTGGGTTCCAGAGCATGAGGACAACCCCTCAATTCCAACAGGTGAGGCTGCTTTCAGGGCTAAGGGGGCAAAGCCACCACCCAGTAGGACTGGAGGGTGGAGCATCCAGCCAATGAAGATGATTCTCAAGTCATAAGAATCTAATAGAATTTGTCCTGCTAGGTTTTAGGTTTGTCTGGTCTCACATATTCAGAGACAGAGAAGAATTTTGCTCCAGCTTGAGTGATACCCTAGTCTTAACCTGTACTTGAATTAGACTATGAGATTTGAGACTTTTGGTTGATGATATTTAAATATAAGACTTTGGACTGAGAATTGATGCTGTAATGATTGGAATGGGGTGAATGTATTTTGCCTGTGGGAAGTACATGCATTTCTGATAGAGCAGAGAGCAGACTGCTTTGCAAACTGTGTCCTCCCCAAAACATATGTTGGAGTTCTAACCCCAAAGTACCTCAGAATGCAACCTTATTTGAAAATTGGGTTTTACAGAGGTTATCAAGGT